GTTGTAATTTTGATAAAACTTATGTGCTCACAATCTGTTGTGTTATTGCCTTCTTCATGTGATCCCTATCTTGAAGTTTCATTAATGTAGCAATCTGACTGATCTTCGAAGGTCATTCGAGTAACACTTTGAGATGCCAAAATTTATTTTTGAGATTTTTTTTTAATTTCAATCATTATTTTGTCATTCATTCAAATGGAAACTAAAATTTATTAAACCACAAAATTTATGAAAATTGTGCCATTTATTTTAATATCATTTATGGGAAGGATTTTCTTCAAAATGTGTGTTTCATTTTCCACACACACAATCCATTTTCCACACTTCAACCATTGGTGCCGGTAATGGGCCGGGCTCGGGTCGGGACGGTGGGCCAGTCCGGCCCGTGGCCAAGTCTATCAACCAATAATTTTCTTCACAAGTCTACTATCTATTTTGGTCAACTTTCTTTCACATTCTTCTTGTCTTTTTTAAACAGTGTGCCCACAATGGATAAGATAATTGATAGTTTATACTACTTCCTGTTCATTATAATGTCGTTTTGACTTTTGTGATTCATTCATTTTATTATGTATCTAGACATTAATATGTCTAGATACATAACAAAATGGATGAATCAAAAAAGTCAAAACGACATTTATAATGAATAGGAGAGAGTACATAATTTCTGATTAATTTTGAGTTGATAATTCATAGATTATGACTAATGATTAAAAGGCTAATTGATATAATAAAACTATATGATAAAATTAACTCACATAAAAAATTTCAATAGACTTATCCATGTAAAAGTTCAAACGTTTCAAAAAACTCATAGCCAAACTTATTTAAATATGAAAACACTTGTTAATCAAATAATACATAAACTTATGAAAAAACTTTGAAGGACAGATTTTGCAATGAGCGCTCGAGTCAAAGTTCGACTCAAGTTCGAGTTTGACCGAACTCGAGTTGAGCTCGAGCTGCTCGAGCAGGTCGAGCTCGAGCTCATAGTTTGGATCGTCGAGCGGTTCGATATATATGTTAAATTATGAAAATACCCCATATATACGTATTTAAATAGTATAACACATGTTTAATTATATTTTTATTTTTCCACTTAAAAATTTTCGAGTCGAACTCGAGCATTTTGATTTCGAGTCGAGCTCGAGCTATTGTATTTCTTATCGAGTCGAGCTCGAGCCTCATAAATCGAGCTCGACGAGCTCGAGCAGCTAAACAAAATTCAATTCTATTTGATAAGATCAATGCTAGACTCAGCTCGACTCGTTTGCAGCCCTAAGCATTAGACAATAATGAGACCAACCATAATTGACATAATATACATGTGATAACATAAACTAATTTACATATCACTTCAACTTTAAATTTGATAATTTTATCAAAAAATTATCTCAAATTCATATTATTATATACACGAAGGTCCCAAACGACGCAGCCCCACAATATGAAACGACATGGAATGTGCGCTTCAAATTCAAAATACTCTAAGCGGGACCGACCTTCCACCGTCTCTCATATATCAGCCAATCACGTTTCTCACACGTGCGCCCGTTCCCCCACACGTGCTGCTCCCACCCCCTTCAAAATTCAAAACTCCGTCCTTAATTTCTTTTTTTACTTAAAATAAAGTAATTTAATTAAATTAAGGGATTAATTAAATTAATTTAGAAAAAAAAAAATCCAAAAAATCCATCTCGTTTTTTTATAGAGTCCAAGTGAACACGAATCGCAGCCGTTGATTTCAAAGCTTCTCAGCAACGACCAAAGGCCTGTCACATAATCACAGTTCATCATCAATGGATACACACATTATTCACTGCATTTTTCGTCTTTAATCTTCCAAAAAAAGGGAGAAAAAGAGAGAGGAAATCGAGGAACAGTTGGAGCTTTGAGCTCAGCGGGAAAAGGTGTTTCGATTTTTCTTCGCCATTTTTTGCAGTTTTTTTTTCCCCTTGATCGGAGAAAGAATGAACACGGCGGTTGGGAGGCAGAGATCCGGTGCGTCGGGGGCGCACCACCAGCGGCAGTACTCCGACAATTTTATGGAAGCTTCGTCGAACGGGCGGTGGCTGCAATCGGCTGGTTTGCAGCACCTACATTCGTCAAGCAATGGGGCGCCTCCAGTTCAGGTTTGCATTTATGTAGTTTTCTTTGTGTAGTTGAGTGTGGACTCGTCTAGATCTAATGACACAGTGGAAAACCCCTGATTTTTGTTTTTGATATGATGTTCTTCTCGCTGGCTGCGTAAAAAATTAGGAATTTGGGTACTTTAATGGTGGGAGTCAGGGTTCAAGGGTGTACAGGAGTGTGCAAGGCCAGAGGACTTACAGTGGAGACAGCAATTTGTTTGTCGAGCCATTGACGCCACCGGAGAATTTGTGGAGGAAGAATGGGGATGACCAAGTTTCGCCGAATGAGTACAGCCCCGGACTTTTGGATCTGCATTCGTTTGATACGGAGCTACTTTCCGAGGTGGGTTCTTTGTTATAGTTGTTGTTTAATGCTTCTTGTGATTGGTTGATGACGGATTCTTGAATGTGGGGGGAGTTTCCGAGTGTTAATTTTGCATTATTCAGTCGAAAGGTGAAACTCTTTTTGGCACACAAATGGGGGTTGGGTTGGTTGGCAATTCAGTTTGCGGTAATGAATCTGGTGATAAAATTAACATTTAAGATAAAAGTAAACGGAGTGCCATGATCGATAAAAGCTTGTTTGTCTGTATGGAAAATAAATGATCTGAATGGAATGATACACTACTGTCAACTATTTTATCCTTTAACATGTGTTCTGTGTTTTTAGCTTGATTGCATTCTTGCATCGGATGATGGTTTGATGGTTTTTGCTGTAATTTTCTCCTGTATTTCTTTTGCCCACTATTTGGATATGAATGCTGCAAACAGGTATCAGTTCCTGGCCCCTATGATGCCCCTTCAATGAATCACTTCTCGCGGAGAAGAAGTTTTGACGATTCTGACCCGTACTTTGGGAACAACAAACAAGCTGGCCGAGCTCGTGCTGTGCCTGAAAGCAATGTTATGAAAAGCATTGCAGCTGATAATGTGAAGGCCAGCAATGTTGCAAAGATCAAAGTAGTGGTATGTTTTTTTCCACTTATTCCATCTGTTCTATAGTCTTTGTGCTGGTTTGTTGGCAATGCTAGTGAACTAACTTAATTTACTGGGGTTCATTCCTCGCACTCGTAAAAAAGTGAAGTGGTGTTATTTGTTCATGTAAAATTTTATGTAGTCATGTGCAGCAAAGAGTGCGATTTCTTTAAGTCCCAACAGTGCCCTGCAGAAACTGGATTATATATTATTTCTGTTTGATGTGTTGTTCGATAAAATTGATTTTTAATTTATTTCAGGTGCGTAAAAGACCTCTAAACAAAAAAGAACTCACAAAGAATGAGGAGGACATCATAGATACCTATTCAAATTCTCTAGTTGTCCACGAGACAAAACTTAAGGTTTGATAAAGTTATCTGTGTTTATTTGGCTCTTAATTGTTATAGCAGTTGTTGTTCTTGGCCTAATTTGATTGATGCCTTGGCTTTTCTACCGTTTGTGTGAAGCGCTTCGAAGTGGTTTTGAATTATTTACTTATGTGTGACATTTTGAGGATATACCCAACTCCTCAAGATTGCTCTTCATTATATGAGAAACGGGTTAACTTTCAGATATGTGCTTCTTATTTTTTCTTTTCCAAGAACATTATTTGGACAATCATTTATGTGTTTGAGCTGGTAGCTTTTTTAGATGAATGTAATGGCCATATTTTTGCTTTGTAATGATAATATTATCATCCAGATATTCAAGTAGTCACTCGATGCTAACTACAAGTGGTTCAGCTGAACTTTAAACTTGGATTTTCTTGTGTATTATAACATTGCAGGTTGACCTGACGGAATATGTGGAGAAACATGAATTTGTTTTTGATGCAGTGTTGAATGAAGAAGTTTCAAATGATGAGGTAGCTTATGAACACGAATTAAAATGATATTGAGGGAAATGGATATTGCCTAATGACAGTCTTGTGTTTTTGTTAACTTGATTCGTATCTCTTTTCTCTCAGGTCTATCGTGAAACCGTAGAACCTATTGTTCCAATTATTTTTCAACGTACAAAAGCCACTTGCTTCGCTTATGGGCAAACAGGTGATCAGCTTTTTAGAATCATCATCCCCAATTATTCTTATTCTAATTTTTCTTTTATTCTTATCTCTTACTTTTCAGCTACGCTCTTTTAAAAAATTTTCAGGAAGTGGCAAAACTTTTACCATGAAACCACTGCCTCTAAAAGCAGTCAGGGACATCCTGAGGCTCATGCACCACACTTACAGGAATCAAGGTTTTCAGCTATTTGTTAGTTTCTTTGAGATATATGGGGGAAAGCTTTTTGATCTTCTAAATGATAGGAAGTAAGTTGTCTATTCATATCCATTCATTCATTCATTATTTTCATTTCGGCTAGATTTTGTTATGACTACTGCTCCGGCAGGAAACTTTGCATGAGAGAGGATGGTAAGCAGCAAGTCTGTATCGTGGGTTTGCAAGAGTACCGGGTCTCTGATGTTGAGACAATTAAGGAACTCATTGAGAAAGGTAATGCAACGAGAAGTACGGGCACCACTGGTGCAAACGAGGAGTCATCCCGTTCGCATGCCATTCTTCAACTGACGATTAAGAGGTCAGTCGATGGCAGTGAATCTAAACCTGCAAGGGTTGTTGGCAAGCTCTCCTTCATCGATCTTGCTGGCAGTGAACGTGGTGCAGACACTACTGATAATGATAAGCAGACAAGGTATATATATATATATATATGTGTGTGTGTGTGTGTGTGTGTGTGTGTGTGTGTATGTAACCATGTAATTAACCTCTTGCAGCTCAGTGAAATAGGGAATGTTGAAGGGAAAAACAGTGATTGTCAGTCTCCCTGAAAAGGAGTTGTCGTAGTCTTTTATAGTTTCATCCTCTAATTGTTAGGGCATG